GAGTCCTTGGGGTTCTCTGAGCTTGGTTCTTTTCTTGCAGACGTTTCATTACCCAGCTAGGTAACATCTTCAGTGCTAAAATGGGTTGGGGTTTGCTGTCTATTTATATACTGTGGCCTGCCTTGCCAGTGCTGGTGGGGGTGGGGGTTTTGTTTTGCTCCTCTGGTAGTTCCTTGATTAGCATATGTTTACTGCTTGATTGTGTGCCTGGTGGTAACCTTTGCTTATCTCGGTGATGATTGCTGGTGAGGCGATCTCCTGGTCTTTTGTCTCTTTTGAATAGTATGTAGATGCTGTTTATCTCTATGTGTCTGTTAATTGCTGCCTTGTCTGAATACCAGGCTTCCAAGAATTCTCTAGCATTTTTGGATTTAACTTGGTCTAAAATGCTGACAGTTTCCCAGTTAAAACTATGGTTAAGTCTGCCCATGTGTTCTGAGATTAAGGAGTTTTCATCATGTCTTCTGACTGCTAGTTGGTGCTCATCGATACGTTCTGCCAGATAAGCAAAGGTTACCACCAGGCACACAATCAAGCAGTAAACATATGCTAATCAAGGAACTACCAGAGGAGCAAAACAAAACCCCCACCCCCACCAGCACTGGCAAAGCATGCCACAGTATATAAACAGAGAGCAAACCCCACTCCATTCTAGCATTGAAGATGTTACCTCGCTGGGTAATGAAACATTTTCAAGAAAAGAACCAAGCTCAGAGAACCCCAAGGACTTCACAGTTCAACCTTGAGCTACACATATTGACCTCTATTGCTATCCCCAGACCTGTCAGTTTTCCCTAGAGGGGAAGCTGTAACGGGGAAAGCCTTTAATAATTTAACTAGAAGCTCTCCAAAATTTAGTGATTGATCATAAATTTGCAGGCAAGTTATAATAATGTTTTGTCCTTTTACATGATTGTATTATACTGTTAGTAGAAGTTGGCACAGATTTCAGTTCTTTGAAAACTTTACAAGGAGAGGATGGTAAGTGGTGTTTCTGTGCAATAAAATGTGCAAAGGTTGAGTTTTGTTTTTCCCCTGAAGCTGTTAGTAGATGGGTTTCTGTAGGATCAGTATACTACAGCTGTTCAACAATGTCAGTTTTCTTAGAAATAACATGGGCTTTGTGCCAGGTGGTGGCGCAGTGCTTCCAATGGTAGGTACATGGTTGTGATTATCAAGAGGAACTTAAGTAGAGTTGGAAAATTGCTGTGGTTTCTGACTTGGAAAGGCACTTTGCTTTGGGAAAGAAAGCTGCCTCTTAACCCTGGGTCAAATGAAATTCCAGTTTCTTAGAGACCATGCAAGGATTGTACTTGCTTCTCCCCAAAGCTAGGATTGGAGGACCTCAACAAAATGCTGCCCTGTGACCTAGCAGCAAAGAGCACAAAGTGAGAGACAGGATATCCTCAGTTCATTTCTTCTAAACCACAGAATTGAGGGGGCAGTAGGCAAGTTGCTTTTTTAGACTAAATCCAAGACTTTGCAGAGTTATTATATGGTTACTGACTTAACATCTCTGAGGTTCTAACTACTCTTGAAATGGTCTTATATAAAATAGTTTTGTATTTTCTGCTAAGTCTGCTGCCTGAAATGCTTGATCCAAATCCAGAGGACTTGCATATGTGATATTGCAATCCCACTTAGTTACAGATCCACCACCACTAATTGACTGGATTTTTAAAAATTAGCTGAAGGATAGATAATATCAGACTAATTGATTTTGGCTGTTTCATGCAAGGAAGCACAGACTGACTTCACCATTTTGTTGGACCATTTTTTCCCACAGTCTAGAAGTGATCTTAATTCAAGACTATACTGAAATTCTTTGTACCACCACATGTAGTTCAAACAGCTACTGATTAATCATGTGAGTCATTGCAAATGTTTTAACACACCTGAAGGCAAAATATTGGTTGCTTAGGTTGGATCCTTCCAGTGATGTTTTCACAGAAGATAATACTAAAGAAGGGAGAATGGAAACAGGTCTCTTGTCACAACTGTTTTGAATAGTGACTGAGTTTATCTGAGCTGTAAAATGACTGAATTTATCTAAGTAGTATTGTCGTTTACTTGGCATATTGTAAGAATAAGGTCAGTGAAGAAACTTTGCTTTGTTTAGGGAAGTAATACACAATCTGAAAACAAGAATTGTTGGCTTACTGATTACAACTGTGACTTAACAAATGAGAAAACATGGTTGGTTTGTGGTTTATTACTTTTGTGTGTTCCACCCAAGCCTCTAATAAATCTTATTATAATCTTCATGGTGGTTTTTAAGGTATGGAAATATTCATTTTGTATTGGTTTGTTCATGTACATGCAGTTTACAGGTATGTATTATGTATGTATAAATAAATAAATGTAGCTACAAAGGGAAAACAGATCTAAATTGGCCAACCCACGCTTACTTTGCTTTTGGCTTATTCAGGAATCATAGTTTATTATTCTATTTATTTATCAAATTTATATAGCCGCCCAGCTCACAAAAAGTGAGTTAAACAACCATGGGTTATAGTGATGTGTACATGTGAACACAACTGAAAAATGAAGTCACTTTAGCTCATAATGAGAATATTATTACTTCTTTTTTAGAGAATGGTTTAGTATTATGATTATCACTTTAGAGAATATAAAACCCAGGTGCATCAGTTTTCTATTTCTGTCATATCATAATGTATCTTTCAGAGTCAGACAACAAGCAAAATTTGTATGTAGTGTACAAATTAATCAAGAGGAGAAAAGCTACTTATACCAGGCTTTGATCTGTGCTTTAGAATCAGCTGATTTTTATTTGTTTCATTTATTCCCAAATGAATTTTCTGTTTGCTTCCACTAAGCTGAAACTTCATGCCCCTCAGTTTTAAATTCCAGGCAGTCTTTACATTCCAACAATGAGATCCTTGCCCTTCCCTGAAAAGAGGATCTCAAAAGAAGAGATGTGTTCCATAGAGCAGTTATGAAGACTTGGTGGGAAAGAGGGATTCTAGCTTGGATTCGACAGAAATATAGTCAAGGAATATGTACTGACCTTGAAGGAATTCACATCTCCAAGATCTTGGTCTTGCTGAATCTCTGTCCAATCTATTTAAGAAAACCTCATGAATTGATGACATACCAGATAACTAGAGGGTGGCAAATGCTATCCTTCAAAAGCAGGGTAAGGAGGATCTAGGGAACTACAGAACAGATCAGAAAGTGGTTTATAAACACCTTGAAAATAATGCAGTAATAGCTAGAATCTGTCACGGATTTGTCAAGAACAAGTCTTGTTAGCCTAATCTTGCTACATTTTTCATCAGATAATTTCCTTAGTAGGAGGTGGGACTAGTGTAGGTATAATATATTGCAATTCAGCAAAATGTTATACAATGTAGCCCATGACATTTTGATTAACAAAATAGTTGATTACCTGGATGGCATATAAATTGTGTGAACCCACAAGTGGTTTAACATTATATTTAAAGAGTGTTCAAATATAGTTTCCCCTTAAACTGGAGTGAGGTATCTATGAGATGACATAGATTTTGGTCCTGAGCCCCGTACTCTTCAACACTTTCTGCAAGGTTTCAGATGAAGAGATAGAAGGACTGCTTATCAGATGTGCAGATGATGCAAAACTGGATGGAATAGCTAATATTCTAAAAAAACAAATAAGATTAAAAATTATAATTGGCTGAATATAACAGAATTATATTTAACAAGGGTGAATGTAATGAAGGGAAAAATAAAATGCCCATCTATAGGAAGAGTTGGCCTGGTAACAGCACGTGTGGAAAGTTGCTTGGAGTAGTAGTTGATTACAAGCTGAATATGGATCAGCAGTGTGATGGCCTGCTAAAAGAGCCAAATGCAATTTTAAACTGCACCACTGAGGTATAGCTTCCAAAGAACAGAAAGAAGTAGTTCTATTATATTCTGCATTGGTCAGACCTCACTCCAGGTACTGTGCCCAATTCCAGGTATCACATTTTAAGAAAGATTCAAACTGCAACAGATCTGTTCTCTGTTATCCCAGAATGCAGGATACAAATCATGGATTTAAGCTATCTGTGCAACAGCTCATTATTGTTTAACATGCCAGTTTATCATCTTTTCTACTGGAACTGGCTTGGAAAAATGGATGTATGATGTTTTGCTGAAAAGCAATAGTTGTGAAACCACCCTGCATATATGGTATCTTAGCCTTGATTATTTCCATTTTTATATTTAAAATTAAACAAGGCTTTTACATTTGGTTGTTTCTTTTTCTTTAATAAAGTTTGATTTTGTTTATCCCTTGTGAGACTGATCTGTCTTCCAAGGTGTTGGTGAGAAAGAAAGATCCCAATAACTTAGCTCAACACTTTATAGCTAGGTGTGGTACTACTGCAATTAGTTTATTTCACCTTTACCTAGTAATTGCCAGGAAAACAATACAGCTTGTGGGAGCCCTGTCTTTCTCACATGCCAGTGATACAGGGAAAATAGCAGGGGAGATGCCTCCCCGGAAGAGGTGGTGCCAACTATAATCACTAAGCCACTAAACTACAGCAAGAGGCAGAGCAAGACTCTGAGTGTAGACTCAGAAGGGCGAGGTTTGAGACCTCCTACCTTTCGCCCCATGGGTTTATCCATGCTACTATAGACTACTGTGCTGCTAGAGTTTCTGTCTCATCCTTCAGTTAGAGATCATAGGTGATTCTGTTCCTTTCTCATACTTACAGACATGAGTCAAAAGTTCCAGGGGCCATCATGCCTTATGGTAGACATGATGCAATGCTTCACTAGCTAATTAGCACTGATGTCTTCTTTTCCTTAGTGAATTAATATCCTTTCATATCGAAGTGAATTAAGCAAAGACCAGCCCAGTATCACACAGCAAGCAAC